GGCGGCGGCGGCAGCGGCGATGGCGCGCGCTCCTCGAACGTTCGAGGGTTCGTTCTCCCGTTCGGCTTTTCCATTCGCCGGCTCGACGACGTATCGCCGAATTCGAGTGGCCCTTGAGCGTCCTCTTGCGCGACGAGTCTCATCCCTTCTTGTCCCTTTTCCCTTCTCTCTATCTCTTTCTTTCTTTGTTTTCTCATTCTCTTGGTTCTCGTCTGCCGAACACAACCGACCAGGAAGAGAATTAGTTCAATCTAGCCTCGCGGCGCGCGAGGCTCGCACGCAAGGTCGCACAGCCTGAAACCCCCAGCGAGTTTTCGAGTCTCGCGGCGACGATCGATACCTCGAGTGGTTGTCTCTTATCAGTCGGTGCTTACCATGAGTGCGGCGGTATCGCGCATCGATCTGACGGCGAGTAATAGTCCTGGATCGAGAGGCTCCCGCTCCATCCAAGTCAGCACCCTCGACAGTAGACCGACGGTCTCTTCCGCGGTAGGCTCGTCTTCATCCTCCTCCTCTTCCTCGTCGTCCTCCTCGTCTGTCCCTTGTTGCTTCCCGCCCTCGTAATCGGCCCACTTCTCTTCCACCTCGATCTTCACCGCGCGGCAATGATCCTCTTCCAGCTCCTTCTTCCTGACGCACCAAGCCTCGCTGGCGTTGCTGCTGTTGTTACTCTCGTCCTCGAGGATCCACTTGCTCAGTTCGTCGTCGCTGACCTCCAGACCCACTTCCCGCGCGACGTTCTGCAGCTCGATCAGAAGCATCCTGTCTTCCTCCTGATCAGACGCGACGTGTATCCGCGAGGACAAAGCGAGACCAACGACGTTGTTGGGACAACCGATGGAGGAATCGTCGCGATCTCGCGGCAGGATCCAACTTCTCGCGAACGTCTCTGACCTGACGCTTAACCAGGCTCTGTGAAGGTCGGCGAAAGCTTCTTTCAAGGTGAATCTTCTCAGATACGCGGTCAGCGAATCGGTCTCTTTGTTAGAAGAATTGGAGATCTTCCGGTAGACACCGTAACAGGCTCTGGAAAGAACTCCCGTTGCCAGCCGGATTCTCAACTCTCGTACCACGATCCTCATCTCGAGGCAATCTTTTGGTACGACGAACAGCCTGACTAGTCCATCGGCAGCGACGCAGTCAGCCTCCGGTGGCAAGTAGTCCGCGGTCTCAGCGACCAACACAGCACCGTCAGGATGCATGGCCATCGCTGTCACGGCGAACTCCCGATGGAACCACCATAGGAACAGATCTACCGTGAGAGAACCTCTGCCACCACCAGCGTAGATGACAGGCTGGCTGAGCATGTTGACTCGTCTGAGGCAACGTGGCCGCCAATGGCGGCCGGTTACCAGCAGTCGCGTCCTGTGGTGACCCTCGTGATCCGCCGCCCCCACCACCCACACCCTCTCGGAATCGCCAGCTGTGGAGGTGGCGCGTCGTCGTCCAGGCAGGTCCCGCCAATCCAGGAAGGACACATGTGCGAGGTAGATTCTACTGCGGTCGTAGCTTTCCAGAGCGTTCCTCAGGCTCTCGATAACGGATGAATGAGGGACCGGAGGGCAGCCTCTTAGACTGCCTTGCGTCGACTGCTCGGTGACCTTGTCGGAGGTGGTGGAGACAGAGGAGGAGAACGGCGAAGAGGAAGAGACTATGGAAGAAGTAGGAACACAAGTGGACGACGTTGACGCCGTCGTGGTCGACGATTTCTCCGTGATCACCTCTCTGACACTACGTGCTCTGATCGAACACTGTCTCTCTTGTTTCCTCTTTCTGATTCTATCTTGATGTACATCGTTACCGTACCTCCTCGCGTCCACCGTACTCGTTTCTTCGTTCGTTCGGTCATTTCTTTGATCGTTGTCCTTGCGCGAATGATTTTCCCGGGAGACAGCACTGGTGGACGTGGACGAGGTGGAGTGTGCTGGCGACGAGATGCTTGACGGAGGCGAGGTAGACCTTCTGGACGACGCGTCCGTGCAGGAGGACGCTGCTGGCGAAGACAAGGACGTGGACGAGGACACGGTGCCATCTCCCTGGTTCGGATCGTCCTCGGTGACGGCTCGAATCCGATCGCGGCGGCGTTGCCTGCTAGTCGGCCATCGTTGCACCAGGGTGCTGTTTTCACGGGGCTCGAGGCTACTCTCCAGGGGCTGGCGCATGCGCGCCGCCCACGACGATCGACCCTCGCACGCTGCCACCGCAGACTTGCTCGTTCTGGTCGTCGTTGTCGTCGTTGTCGTCGTTATCGTCGTCGTCGTCGTCGTCGTCGTCGTCGTCATCATTATCGTTGTCGTTATCGTCGTGTTACTTCCATTGACCGATTCGTCACTCTTAACCGTTCTTTCCTCTTCGTTGGCCAGGTCCGCGGCCTCCTCCGTCTCCTCCTCTTCCGTTTGTCGATGCCGTTGCTCATAATGATGATGGTTCGTTTGATGATGACTATTAGCGCCGCGGACAGCTGCGGTAGATCTCGATTTCGACGTGGCTCTGGCGTTGAGGCGCGTGCACTTGCTGCCACGGGGCGACATGATCCACGGCGGTAGCGTTTCCGTGGCGGAGGAATCTCCTGGCCAGCGGTGGCCTGCGAATCCCACGGATTCGGCGAGCGTTGGCGCGCGCGCGATCGTTCATCCACGGCGTGCCGGCTTCGCCTACCGAGCGATGACTGAGCGAGCGGTCGCGACGCAGCCGTCAAAGGCCGGAGCGGGAACTAGAAGGCTTTGATGTACCGCCGCCCCGGCGCGCACAAAGCGAAAGCGGCCCCGGCTCGTTGGTTGGCATGCTACGGGGGCGGGGGCGGATAGAGTGAGAGAACGGGAACACGGGCGAGCGCGCGCCACGGGAACCGAGCCAGAGAGAGAGTCGGAAAGAGAGAATTGCTAGGAGAGAAGCAGAGAAAGAGAGAGAGAGAGAGAGAGAGATACAGCGGTGCCACCAGGAGGAACTGGGCGGCAGGAGGTGGATGGAGGAGGGAATACTCGCGAGCGGTTGCGGGACAGAGACGGTCTCTAGTGCCGGATGTAC